TTAGTGTCTTCTGATAGTAATAAAAGCATTAAAAAACTATCTGAACTGATAAATAACAGATTGGAGATTAAAATAATAGCAGATTTGTCTCATTTTAAATGAATAATAAAAACTGAGATAAAAAATGTACTTAAGCCAGAATTTAAATGTTACTATCGTAAAATAAATATTCAAACCACATGTTACAACTAAACCCCCGTTACTCCCCTATATTGTGTCACACTTCACACTTCTCTAGTAAGTTTCATCTGTGTGTGTGAAGACAGTAGCGCAAATCCGTGAATGAATGTTCCGAAGTTAAATAAGCTTCAACGGAATAAAGTTGAATGGAATTGAATTAAAGTTGAATAAACTTCAACTTTACTGTTCAGTGCACTGACGTCAGACTCATTTTGGATAGTAAAGTTTATTGTTAAATTGTTAAATGCCCTTACATATCTCTGTCACCATTATAAGTGTTTGATCACCACATTTAAGAGATCATTGCAAAAAATCTGTTTATGTATATATTCTGTTTATGTATATACTGTATTCTATATATAGTACCAGTCAAATTTTTGGACACACGAATGGGAAAGTGTCCAAACTTTTGACTGGTACTGTACTATAATATGCACAAAGAATATTGGCATTTTTTTTACTCCCTAGTATCGGTATTGGCCCCAAAAAAACCATATCGGTCGGGCTCTACTATTTTATACAACCGGTTACATTATTTCAATCACAAATGAACATTTAAATTAACTCTCTGAAAATAGTAAATCTTGTTGTGGACATCCACAAAAAAAAGTTTTCAAATAATATAGATAATGAAAAAAGAAATCTTAAATCTAAAAAATATGTAGGCCTATCAATTGAGTGAGTCCGTGCAGCGATATAAGAAGTTTTGAAACACAATGACGGATTACATCTTAAATTGACTCCTTTTTTTAGTAACATTGGATGACTATTGGGGTTACACAACCTTCTTTTGCATTCAGTTGAGATTCACATTAATGAATCATCTCATGACAAAACTTCAGTCACTTAGAATTGACAGCAGAAAAATGCCAAGCATCCCATTTACTAAATAACTCCACTGAATTGGTTCTCTTTTAATAGTCCCATTGATTAGACCAGAGCTGTGAAATAATAAGGTGTTGTGGTGGGATGTGTGATGCTGAGCTGCTGTGTAAGCAACATCCCTTCTGGAAGTAATTAGGCTTTACTTTACACACACTCACAAAACCATGCTGGCTACATAAGAACTAATGGTGCATTGATCACTTTTTAGAGCAGAATTAAATCATATATTCAGATCTTCTCATTATTATTTACCCTACAAGTGCCTAAATGTTTTGGAATAAAGAAGATTTTAAATTCCCTCTACTTAAAGGAATAGTTACCAACATTTGTCAAAATATTTTTTTTTGTGTGTTAGGTTTTCAGTGACATGAGGGTGAGTAAATGATGACAGTTTTCATTTTGGGTGAACTAAGTCAAGCCATTAATCCCATCTTCTCATATACTATATGTCTATCACAGACACAGTCACCCACTGCTAAAGCCATTCAGAACCATCCACTCCTAAATGTCTCATACAGCTGGAATTGACCTTCCTTTTCCAGAGGCCAAATACTATTTATAGTGACTTAATTTGATCTCAATGTGTGTGCTTTTGTTGGAGCAAAGAGGATGATAAGACTAAAAAGCTGGGCTGTATGTCAGTGCTTCCTTAAATTATCAAAAAATAATTTACTTTATCTGAAGTACCAGTCAAGGTTCTTGTACCATATATGACTATTCAAAACACTTCAGTTGCACATGGATTAAAGGTTTAAAGTAGTCTTACTGCTGGGCTGTCGCAGTGAGGGAATTTCCCTTGCGGTAATTTTGAGTGGCTCAAACCGTATGCGGTATTATCGCCATGCATATACATATATATATAATTGTGTGTATGTGTTACGATATAACTAACGAGGTCATATTCAGAAGACAATGAAACCGAAACCAAATAGGGTTGAAACAGGAAGTGAAGTAAACAGAAGAGAATGACAAAATAATGGTCCACATAACAGAACATAAACCTGACAATAAGATCGTTAGGCTATCGTTAGCCTATATGTATAACAGTTAGCCTAGTTGTAATCTGATCTTCAAATCTGACTGGACAAGAGACTTTCTATTGATATTTCCTCCTGCGCGAGTTCTAGACGGGCTGTCAGTCAGTGCAGTTACAGTGTTGCGCCACAAGGTGGAGGAAAGGGACTGTCATTCAACTACACGTTCAGAAACGCTGATTCATTCATTCAAAGAGACGTAATGAAACACACTGTTGAAATCATTTTAACTTTGAGCGCCACTTTAGAAGGCTCAGCTGACCAGCTATGCATCGATGATAAGACAGAGATTTCGCTTTCCTTGAACATGACAACCTATTTTCACAAATATATATGACTCTGCCTGGAGGACAGACGCAAGTAATCGCATGCGCTCAGTCGATCTCTCTCTCATTCACTGTCTGTTTAGGCTTGTTAAGTGCAAATCTACGGAGCCTCTGTACAAACCAGCATGGTACACATTATGTTATCATTACTAACTTGTTTAATATTCAGTCCACATGCATGAAGTGTAAAACGAGAAGGGCATAACCTTACGAAAAAAGAAAACATGCAAAAATCGCGGTTGCTGCGGTTCTTGTATTCCTCTGCGGTTTGCTCGTCAATAGCGCGGTATTGCGATATTGCGGTTATCGCGACAGCCCTAGTCTTAACTGCTTGTATGAGCTCACAAATTCCAGCATCTCTCACAAACACTCTACAATACATTATAAAAAGCAAAAGACATTTAACCCTTATCTTTTGAGACCGCAGGATTGCTGCAGTATGGACTTGTAGAAAATGCAGAGAGCTCTATCTAGGACAGTGTGTTCTAAACAGCTTGGCTGTCTATCCCAGAGACACACTTGCTATTTCCTTTGATGGTTTACCCAGAAAGAAAACTTGAGGGTATAATTACGTACAAATAGCTAGACACTGGGTGATTTAGGGAAGTTTTACTTTGGCTGTTTTTAGCTTTATTTTGGTTGGTGAAAGAAGTATGTTTTCGAATAAAAAATGACTTTTTTGCTGGGGGGTATCACAGACCAACAGAACTCTCTCTTTTTATTTCATTGGTTATCATTAGATGATTCATATTGAATCTTGTTTCCGCCGTGGGATAAAAATATAAAAATGCAGATTGCTAACTTAATAAAATGCTAACTTTTTTATCTCTCAATTCAGACTTTTTTTTTCCCTCGCAGTTCTGAGAATTAAAAAAAAAACAGAATTGTGAGATGTTCTGAAGTCAGAATTGTGAGGAAATAAAGTCGCAATTACAAGATGTAAACTCAGGATTCAGAGGAAAAAATTGTGCGATATAAACTTGGAATTGCAAGGAAAAAAGGTTATATCTCGCAATTCTGACTTTTTTCTCAGAACTGTGAGTTTATATCTCGCAATTCTGTGTTTATATGAGAAAAAATAATTGTGAGAAACAAAGTCACAATTTACTATTTTTCCCCCCATGGTGGAAATGCACTTCCATAGTTTCAACCATAAGGAACCACCCTAAACTAATCAATATGGCTATAAAATAACCAACGGTATTCAGTTACACGGTTAAGATGCGCACATGACAGTACCATGAACCAGGTGCTTTACAATCCCAATAATGATGCCTTTCAGTCTGTTTTAATGTTTTTGACTGCTCTGTTAATGAGAATATGTACCAGATGTAAAATGCAGCTTTGTGGTCATATCATAATGTTTGTGAGCACTTAATAAGCCTTTAGGGATCTATTAAACTTCAGAAAGTAACTTCTCACAGACGCCCATAGTAAAAACAAGAACTTTTGCTACCGCTGCACAATACTAAAAAGAACAAATGCTGAGAAGACTTGGAGGTGCTCCAAAACACACAACTAAACACACTACGACTAAATTCTATGCATTTTCGACAGCAATCATATTTGAATTTTCAACATATAAATATGTACAGGTTTCCAATGTGTTGAAACAACATTTCATTAAGCACACAAGTTAGCCAAAGCGTAACCGCAACACAAACGCTCGCGAACGTCAGTCGTTTCGCCTGTTGCCACAGCAACCAACGCTTCGCCGCTCCAAACGATTTCGGCTCATTTGCATGGGCCCGAATTATTATTTGTTCGTAGCATTATCCGTATCGGACAACTTCGAGAAAACACAAGCAAGTCATTATTTACCGCTGTGAAGCACGTTTACATAACACATGTACACAACAAAAAATGTTTTGCTTAAAAGTGTTTTGTTGGCAGTTCGGTTGCGCGCGACTTGCTTTCGAAATCCCGAAAATAACTGCAAAGTTCACAACCCTGAAAGTAAAACAATTCTCAAACTAGACATATAGATAGACAGACAGACATACTGATAGATAGATAGACTGATAGATAGATAGACAGATAGATAGATATTACGTGAATTGTGTGCATTGGCAATACATTCTGAACACTGTGTAACACTAAATCATCAAGTCTGAACCACTGTAACACCTTAACACTTCACTATTCAGTTCCCTTCAGAAACACGCAGACTCGTTTTCAAATAAATGAAAGACGAGAAGCCTCTCCGCAGTGACTGTTATCTCTCCACGGACTGTGCCTGTGCCGCTCTCCAAAGAAGACCTCGCGCGATATAACGTTAATGAAAATAGAATAACAGAAACATGTGAGCTTTGAGTTGCTGTCCTCCTCAGAGTAAAGGGCCGGTGAGGAAGCGCATCTGTCAGCCAGCGGTCACCGTTAAACACAGTAGCTCAGACTCTCGCGCGCAACACGAGTCAACATCCGTTGATAAAAGTGCGGGTAACTTACAGTGTTTGTCCCAGCGGCGACTGTGAATGATTCCTTCACGTGATAAAATGTATTAAACGGAATCGCTATCGTGACAACAGGATCTTCGAGACGAGAAAAACAATGATAAATTGGGCTTGAGACTCACCTGTTCCCTGACGCCGAGGCGCGCCGCTGCCGGTTACCGACTGACGCTCGAGCGCCAAACCCAACTCCTCCGCCAGGCGGAGCGCGCGGCATCTTGGCGCAGTGAACGAGGGGCACGCTGGGTATTGTAGTTGGCGTAGCTGTATTATTTACCTGCGCAAATTTAAGAAAAATTAAAAAAAAATTGTATCCGTGTATTATATTAGATTTTAAGATTTATATTTGTATTTAAGCTACTTGAGAGAGTCAGGAACAATTTACATATCTTTGTTTATTCAAGATAATATTGTATTAATATAATATTGTAATATAATATTGGGATTCAAAACGCACACAAAAAAACTCGTATTATCCTTATATAAAACATTCTCAACGTCGCAGGACAGTCGTGATAGCAGGTGGACTGCAGCTAAAGCAAAGGTCACCTCCCTTTCTGTCGAATCTGCAGAACCAATTATTATTGTTAGAAATGTGTACTACATATTTGTGGCGTAAATACTTAGAATTTTATCACATATCAAATTATAAGTATTTAAGGGACGTTATAACTAAACAAGGTCATTTCTGTTATTTGATTGTTTTACTATTGAATATTGACGAACATATACAATATCCAAAAACAAGTTGGCAAAGGGAGAGTATGCTTTAACAATAGAAAAGAAGACATAATAATTACTCGACTTCGAATAGGACATTCTGGTTTAAATCATTCATTATTCACAATAGGGAAACATCAGTCAGGATTATGTACTACATGCAGTGAAGCAGAGACTAATGATCATTCTACATTGTACAATATACAGGGGTCATTCTATGGAAACGTCCACTTTTCTGTCCCTAGCCTTTACAGAAATATTACACTTGAAAAACACTTTAGCGTTACAATTTTTTTATATTTTAAAATGAAACAATGTGTCATTTGAACAATTACACCTTCTTGAGCCATCAATGTGGCAATATTTATTTTTAATTAATTATAAAAACTTCCAAGCACCACAAAACTGCTCGTCCCCACAGCCATGTTCAGAGGAAAAGTGCTTTATTTTGAGGTCAAAATCAGGGTTTTCTACCATTTAAAATACAATGATGTATTCATAATTATCAAATATATGATGTAAATGACATAAAAAAACAAAATGCCAAATAAATATTATAAAATATATAATGAAAGTAGTGGTCCCCTGGAGTTGTGTCACTGGTGTTACCGTTTAACAAAAATCATTTATTTTGAAATAAAAATCACACTGATGACGTCACTTGACTTCCTTCCTCCCACTTCCTGAAGATTTATGAAAAAAGGCCCATGTGAAGTCCACTGTCTCTTTTCAGTTATCAGAAATGTTCTCATTTATCTCATGATTTCATATGAAGCTTTTAGTGGAAGTCACTGGTATTACCTACTTTATTGTTAGGGACTTGTAAAAAAACTAGAATACAAATAGATTAAACTACCCAATTTAGTGAGTATACCATGACTGACAACATGTGGCTTGATACCTTGCAGCAGACATTTTGTAAAATGCATTTTTCATGAAAATTGTCACTGGTGTTACCTTCCTCATGGGTAACACCAGTAAAGATCCGTTTACGTTGATGCTCTTTTACTAACTGCTTTCACTGATTGCCAAATGTATGCCAAATGTAACAATTTAGTCTTAACTACTTACAGTTGGAGAATAAGGATCTTATGTATATGTCACTGGTGTTTCATATTGTGTCACTGGTGTTACTTTTTTTCTGTCACATTAAATAAAATGCGTCTCATGTGACTTGATGATCATTTTTACATCCATTGAATTCTGCTTCACTCAAGAGTTAGGATTTAAAGGATTGCATCATTACTTGTTTATAACTGTTTTTACAAATATTGTCATTGTTATAGCAAATACATGGTTGCGCAAATGAACTAACATCATTCAATCACACTTTTAACAAACCTGATTAACCCTTTGACGCGTGCGATCACTCCGGCGAAAGCGAATTGTCATATTATCACAAATATTCAGTGTTTTCAACCATATAATGCTTATTTTAGCTTTCAGACATTTAAATACACAAGTACTAGCAAAACCATACATTTACAGTTTGTAAAATGCACGCTGATGTTTATGGAAACGGCAATAATGATCCTTAAAAATAATAATCTGTCGACATGTTTTTATTGATATCATATACAGATTGTGTGGATAACTATAACGTTTACTCTGCTCTTCTCCCAGTTTACCGGAGACCTACTCTAACATGTTTCGGGAGGAGAGGATGAATTTGCGTGTTGTAAATCCCACAGCTCGGATGCAGCGCGAACTAACATGGCGGCGCCCATCACCCGGTATAGATCAACTAACACGGTCGATATAAAAGTGTTTAAACTACCAAATAGATTTAATTGCACATATTTCAGAATCGGAATATCAGATATTTCATAATATAGTGAGCATGTTTGTGAATATGTTGAATAAAACAGGAAACACGAAATAAAAGCGGTCCATGTGTCTGCGTTGTGTCACATGACAAGCATGACGCGTCGCCATGGAAACAATAAGGCGATACATTCTAAAATAACGGTCGCCTAAAAAAACCTCACGCTGGGGACTCAGCTAGAATATTGTAAACTCACGCGAGAAAGAATAAAACATAATCTCCTTATTTGTCGCATTATCATCATTTTTCTGTAACTCTGACTACATGTACTAAAAAAAATGGAGAAATAATATTTCATTAAAATTGCCAGAGAAGTAAGGTAACACCAGTGACAAAAAAAATGGTACACGTCGTCTTTAAATAAACGCACAAAAAAAGATAAAAAATCATTAAGCTGTCATTTATGTGTATTCATAAAGTCAAAAGATAATATAATAATGTGGTCTAAGTTTAAATGTTAAAAAAAGAAATGCATTTTAAGACCTCTTGCCATACCAAAAGTGGACGTTTCTGTAGAATGACCCATATACCAAAGAAAGAGAGGAGTTATCTAAGAAACTGAGAAACATGGGAGTAATACATTTCACTATATCAAATCTTTTAAGTTGTGCCTCACGACAGACAAGTATTATGAGAGAAATTCTTAGTTAGCTGAAGATAACGGGATTAGAAAGTAGAATTTAAATGTCATAATAACACTACCGGTTGGTTTGTTTATTTATGGATTTTTTCTCTCTCCCGCTTTCCCGTTAATGCTTCACGCTCCAGTCCAGTTGGTGGCGGTAATACACCATAAGTTGGCTTGTCAACCGCCACAAAATCGTACAAGAAGAAGAGGAAGAATATTGACGAATGTGCTCTTGTTTAACGCCCGTGTGATTGATACAACACGCTTTCAACATGGCCGCGCCCGCGAAGAGCACGGACGCCTCAGTCTCAGTGACTGCGGGTCAGCTGGCAACTGTTTCAGCAGCGGAAAACGTTCCACTACAGTATAGTCTTATTCTGGATCACCTTATGGGTGACAAAAGGCCAATCAAAGACTTGAATCCGACTGTCATGGGTGCTTTACCGAGTCCTCAGAAAACAGAGGAGCAGAAGATGATCGAGAGGGGAATGGAGAGCTGCGCGTTTAAATCACTAATAGCATGTGTCGGAGGTAATTCACTCTAAATCTTAGAGGTTTTGTAACGAGGAGATATTCCCATGATCAATGTATATTTGATTCATAATCATCAGCTATGCAACAGCTCTAATGCGGCGTTTCTCTCTCCTGCAGGGTTTGTGTTGGGAGGTGCTTTTGGTGTCTTCACAGCAGGTATTGACTCCAACGTTGGGCTTGATCCCAAAGACCCCCTAAGGACCCCCACAGCAAGAGAGGTGCTGAGAGACATGGGACAGAGAGGAATGTCATATGCTAAAAACTTTGCTATTGTGGGTGCTATGTTTTCATGCACGGAGTGTCTCATAGAATCAGTAAGTGCCCTTTGCCCTATTTTGTCTGTCTGACCACCTTTCATTGTGCCATCTATTTTTTTCTCTAGTCAAATAAACAAATGTATGCAAATGTATGTATTTAAGGATAGCTGATAGCAAAAACAATTCGATTTTATTTAGTGAAGTTCTCCCACAATGCAATGCATATTTAAACTACCACTGATTATTATTTTACAGGGTGCTTCTCATTTCTTATTTGTACATCCTCGTTTTCTTTCCTTGAGTCTTAGCTCCACCCCTTTAGGATATGAGGCAAGAAAAAGAGGATGGAGGAATTGAAGGAAAACTAATTTGTTTATTGGAATATTCTTGATCACTCAAGCGTCATCAGCTGCACTCAAGGGAAATTCATAATAAATATGAATAAAGCAGGATGCCCTGAAGAAATATGTTAAACATATGTTTTTCAACAAGAAACACTACCACGTAGGATGCACCTGTGTATCCTCACGTGTAACTCCTCTGGAAGCTTCCTCGCTCCTCGTTCCTCACAGTGCAATTAGAGAATTCAGATGTCTTTCAAAAAGGCCAACTCTGGGTCATGGGCTGGAGGAGCGAGGATCTATTTGAGTATTGAGATGCACCCACAGTGTTTATATTCTAACCATCCATCAACTTAAATGAACGAGTCGTCATCATTTTATACTGATGTAGACTCTATGAAATACTATAGTATACTATTTTAAACAGGTTTGACTAATTTACTGAAATTATGCAAGTTAAACTTACTACTCACATATGCATTTTTTGATATGGATTAATGGCTCTACCTAGTGGTTCTGTGTTTGAACAGTCTTCCTACTCATCCATTCCTTGTAGGATGTTTTGCAAAGATTTTTAAATGGCCTATTTGTCAGTACTGATCCTCCATCTGATGAATGGTTTTCTCTTTTCTAGCATCGTGGGAAATCTGACTGGAAAAATGCAGTGTATAGTGGCTGTGTTACAGGAGGAGCCATTGGATTCAGAGGCAAGTTTCAGTTTGGGGTTAAAGAATAGAAAGGATTTAAATGTGTGGTCATTTTATTTTATTATTGTTATCTGGACTATATGAATAAGCTGTTCCTCTCTTCACTAGCTGGTCTTAAAGCTGGACTTCTGGGCTGTGGAGGTTTTGCTGCTTTCTCTGCTGCTATTGAATACTATCTCCGATGAACACCAGCTTCTGGACTGTTACCGTGTACTGTTGTGAGTTCCTCACAGTATAATGTTAAGACATTATCACGGGGGACACTGTGCAATCTTCTTCTATCCCAGCAATCAAGAGGCGTTCCATCCTTTCGGAAGAGATTCGGTTGTGGACCAATAGGACACCAAACTCAAGCAGAAGTTTTGTATAAGTTTTGTTTATTCTGAGGGGTGTCTTGATCATTCGGTCTCAGACCACCTGATGATGCACATCACCTAAAAACCTCCTAGGACAATATTTGTACATAATTGTGCCTAAAATGTCATGCTTTGTGCTGGTTGATGCACTGAGCTAAATGAGATCAAATGTGTAGTAGTACACCTTGTCTGTGGAAAAAATAATAAAGAGTGGTATTAAGTATTTACTGAAGATCGGGGTGTAATGGGGCATAAAATCTTCATATTTGCTCACATTTGTCACCTTTATTATGTTATGTACCATAGTAGTGTTCCAATGAAATATTGACACACACACTGCTCAGTTTAAAAGAATTCACTAAATCAGATTTATTTTCTTCCAAAGTAGTGTTTGGATTTACAAGTTTCCAGAAATTAAGCTCAATCAATGTTTATATTAGTTTCACTCTGAAGCCCCTTTCAAAAAAGGAGAGTTCTTGAAATGTCATTCTACAAACAAACAAACAGAAACCTAAATATATGAAATCTGATACATTATATGTGTGAAAATCCAAATGTTATCAAAAATAAGAGGCAGGGAGTGCTAAAGGTTGTGCATTAGGAAATCTGAATGGATTCATGCTTCGAGGTCAAGCTGACATGGCAAGGAAGTGCGTTTTCCTCACCAGGAAACAGATAATGCAAACATGCTTTCTGGCTACTTCCCAGTTCTCTGAAAAGGCTCCTTTCCCACTGGCCTCTAAACAAGAGTTAATATGCTGAATTAAGTTTGGAGATGCAACCAAGTAATGTGTTGGAAGATACGTGTACATTTTGTTAAAGCTTTTTTGGACCATGCAAAAATCTAGATGAGTAACAGATTTAAACTGACCTAAGATTAAGCCTACATTGTCCAATTGTGTCTGTTTTATGAGGAAAGGATGCCGTTCAGAAAACTGGGTAACATTACAGACCTTTAGATTTCCTTTAAATTAGTTTCAAGATCGCAAATATAAAGACAACACAGCAAGCATACAGAAAACGATTTTAAGACTTAGAAGCATGTTTAAAGGACAATGTTAGCTGTAACAATTTATTCAAATTATACACTGAAATCAAACCTACTAGCATAAAGAATTAATGTGTACATTACACTGTGATACAAAGGTTTATCTTAGTTTTGTGTAATGTATTTGAACATTTAAAAACAAAAAAAGTGAGCAGAGATGGCCACAACCTAAAACACCACCTGCCCAGGGCTGCTGTGCACTGAGCTTGTATCAATATCACTCACAACTTTAATACAAGGCACTGTATTTACGATAATCCAGACAACGCATGATTTGGGGGTAAAAACAAAACTTTTATAGATATATTTATTATAGCTTAATTTTCTATCCTCAGACTTTTCTGCATATATCTGCCTTCATCCATTCCTGTTACAACCATCACTATAAAGCTCCAAACAAAGCATCCATCAAACCAGCCTAGTCTAGTTTTGATATGTATTAAAAATCAGAGCAGCTGATAACAATCCTGAACACCTACGTCTCTTATTCCTCCACTTCAGTCCTTCTCACAAAACATGCCCAAGTCATATATTTAAGAAAATCTATTTCATGACCATTAAGCCTTATTTTATTTTATTTTTATGACAATTAAACATTTTTTCCATCACCACTGAAAAAAAAACTCGTGCTTTCTTAAAGCTGACTTTAGAAAGAAAATTGGCTTGATGATATTTATTTTTATTTACTTTGTTACAGATGTTGGGGTGAAATAAGATCTGGACATGTTTTAATCAGATTCACCCAGTTTGTAATTTTCAGTAAAACAATATAAACTCAGCCAAATATTCCAGTGAGAAAAATTCCAGTCTTTTTGCTGCCAGAGACTGACTGACGCCTGAGCCATAAGCACAGCCAGTCCTGTATAGATCTGATCCTCTGTGGATGGCAAATGAGGGAAAGGCAATGAACGTTTCACTACATGTTACTTGTCTTTAAAAAGTGCCTAAGAGTCTTTGGTCTACCAAACCCAAAACTGTTCTAGGTATTTTCAATTAGAAATGTTGTCTTTTTGTAAATCACAGCCTCATCTTTCATCTCTAAATAATAATTGATAAATGATAACGTCTTTATCAAACCCTGAGCTGAAAGAGGAGGCCTTGAAGACACTAGACTTGTATTACTGAATAATTGAATAATTTTTTTCCAAAAAAAAAATAATTATCAGCATCATGCACTGCAAGTTCACGCATGGCATAAATAAGCCTAAATGTAATGATTTATGGTAATTTTCAATGCTTTTGAAACTTCTGGATATAAACCTGTTCATATATCATGGATTTACAATACACATCCCTTTATAGTTAATGCTAGGCCCCTTAATTTAAGTGACATTTAACATAAATGTGTGCTTCTAACTTGTGCGACAGTTTGGGAAGAATGAAAGACGTTAAAGCAGCAAAGGAATGACAAACACCGTATTAATGCCCATATATATTATATATTAAATACTTTTGGCTGTCAGTCATATAGGCCTGGTTTTACAGACAGGGCTTAGGTTAAACCAGGATTAGGCCATAGTTCAATTAGGACATTTAAGTAGCTTTTAAAAATGTGCCTTAGATAAAAACACTACTGATGTGCATCTTAAGACAAATCAACGGCACTGACAGATTTTAAGATCAGTCAGTGCAAGTTTCTTTCAGTTAAAACAGCTCAGACATGCGTTTTAGTCTGGGACTAGGCTTAAGCCTTGTCTGTCAAGCCGGGGGATAGTGTATTTGTTATATTATTGATATGTCTTATGGAGACCAGTCTAACCTATAAATTAAAGAGTGAAAAATGAGAGAAAATAATGTTGGTTGTAGTAACAGACATCAGTAAACAATGTAGGGCTGCACAATTAATCGAATTTCTAATCGCAATTACAATTATGGATGCCACAATTACGTAATCGTTTAAAGCTGCAATTAACTGTCAAAGTCCACTTATGTTATTCTGCACGCTTAAGATATGTTTTTTTCTTTCTACATGTTATCTTAAGGATTTTTCCATTGTTTTAGTTTTAGTATAACAATATAATACCATTCATATTTTTACTTTTTTTATCATTTAAAGAAGAAACCAATCCGATGTATATTTGACATTTGAGGCTTAATGCTATAGAAAAGCACTAAAGGTTTTTCAGTTAGTGTTTTCAGCTTGTTTATTTTCATATAAAAATACGGCATGCAGTTGCATCAAACAATGGTATAAACATCATTCAATGTAAATGGTGATAATCGTAATTAATAATCGCAATTACAATTTCAAGGGAATAATCGACAATTATGATTTTTGTCATAATCGTGCAGCCCTAAAACAATGGAGAAAAGCATCAACAAAAAATACAACAACAACAAAAATATCAGAAATAACATGCATTATGATTAATATGGCTAAATCATCTGCCAAATGCATTCCACTTCAACAAAACTAAGGAAATCATAGTGTTGCCATAGACAATAAACAGCAGCTTGAAAGACTGCATAGTTAGTTTTGAAAAGTACTAAAGCTTTAGAAAGGGAGAGCAAAACACACATTCTCTCTCTTTCAGTCCAGCAAAGACCCCGTTCACCCCGAGAGTGAGCTGGGAGCTTATACACACTGTTTTATAAGTCTTCTCTCTGTCTCTCACACACACACACACACACACACATTTGCTAAAGGCAACCTTTAGGTCCAGTTTGTCTCAGAAACACTAAATAAGAGTGCATGGGTACGAACAGAGCAACATTTTAATCTGACAGTTCTGCACTTCTGAAAGTGCTTAATGGAATCTGGAAGTCACTGTAAAAAAAAAAAAACGAACTGCATTCATACGACATCCAGCATTCAATAAATGTATTATGAAAGATGCTGCAGGTTGTGTTAAAAGCCCTGAAACAAAGGCTTCTGAGTTCCTTGCTAAGCCTACACGTACACAAGCTCTTATAAGCCACAGATTATCCCTAAAAATGACCCTAGGCAACAGCAAATCACCCTTTTATACTGCAATATTCATCAATGTAGAATTAAATAGAATGTATTTACAACTCAAACTGTAGGCTCAGTTAACAGAAAGATAAAAATTCATGCCCGCGTCAAGAGCATTTCACACTTCAAACTCACAAACACCATTACCAGGGATCCCAAACCTTTTGACCATTGAATGTCAGCGTCTTTTCTGGATACAGTTTTCTAGAAATTGTTTAGTAGACATAGTAATCATAAAAAGTGACATCTAGCCAAAAAAATATTCAGCCAAAGAGCAACAAAAATTGTACTGACTAGAGACATGATGAATTTTAAAGACTTCTTATGACTTTTTCCACACATCTCAATCTCAAATGTATAATTCCCTGACATTTTCCTTCTTCTCAAGACTGTAGGAACCCAGTATTACATACTTTAGATATACAAAGATTAGTTTTCGGAGTAGGCTGTCATGCAACTTTTCTATCTTTACCCATGTGTTCACATGGGCTATCCACCTACCCACAATCCATTGCTCTGAAGCCCCGTGTTATTGCTTTGACTACTGCCTGGAAATCATGTGGCCTAAAAGCCAAGCATTATGTGCTTGCTCTTTGTACCCTGCAAAGACCTCATCCCTCTATAGACTTAAGTCTTGTCTATGCCATATAAGCATAAGGACCGACTCTCTACTGCCCTCATGTGGATGGGAGGACTTTGGATGCTCAAAAGGTGCACAAAGCGAAGCAGAATTCATTAGCAGCCTTCAGAGTGAAAAGGGCGGTGTGTGGTAGAGAAGTGTAAACAGTCACAGCAGGGCAGTGTGTGTGCAAACACACAGAACTCTAATGAGCTGTAAACAAGAACAGCAGCACTGCAGCCATGGAAATGCTTACCATGTGATCGGAGCTTTGAGCCGAGTGGGATGTGATCTGAAATACTGGGGTTTAATCCAATGAATTTATCATGATGGCTGTGCCACACGCATAATAAATTCCCTAGTTTAAACCAGTGTATTTTTGTACTTCAAGTATACAGGGACAGCATTTCACATGGGACAAAACCAAAAAAAACTAAAGTAACAGATAATTCCAATGACATTCAAAGACACCAGTCCAAACTGTAACAGATACTCCAATCAGAGAAAGAAAAGAGGGTTACGGCCCTCGATAACTGACCTAAAAGGTGCTCCTTAGAAGTCACTGTAGTAAATCCAGTGTGGTGGCATTGTTACGGCCCCGTGTGTAAATGTAAGTGTGCGCGTGGAATGAAGTAAAGTGAAGAGGAGTAATAAGGGTGTTTCTAACATGAAGTCTTGGTTGTACTGTAACAGTAGTAGATGCAGTGCCATAGCCTTCAGCTGTGATGTCGGTTGATTGTTTGTTCTAGATAAAGACAGACCTTCACTAATCAGCCTTGGAGATATCTGAGACCGGCTCGGGCGAGGACAGCGGAGAGACCTGGTTTTGCGCATCCCGCTGCCGCTTGTAGAGTCGGAAGCCTTTACGGCAGAGGAGGACGAACCAGTAGACCTGCGGTGCCAGGATGCAGAGGCTGCCCAATTTGGTGGAGAGCGGCAGATGGAAGGGAACGCTGTAGAGCGGGATGCCGTAGTGGGAGCCGTAGGCCCAGTACATGTAGGGGAAGAGTGCAATGCGGCACATGAAGAAACTCAGCAGCACCATGCCACCATTAACCTTGTGCAGCCAGCAGTCCTGCATCCCCAGCTACAGGAAGAGACAGTCAACACAGAAGAATGAGCGGAAGAGGAAAGGAAGATTAGAAGATGGGGGCAAAACATTAAAGAGATAGTTCACCCAAAAATTACAATTCTGTCAACATTTACTCAAACCCATTTTGTTTTAAATCCATAAGACTTTGGTTAATCTTTGAGAAACAAATTAAGATGTTTTTCTGTCACTCCATTGAAAGTCCAGGTAAACTACAGCATCTGTAGTTGCTGATACTTTAACAAAGTATCGTATGTCAAAGTATCAGCAACTACAGATGCTGGGGCTGCTTTAAAATGCAATACCCACGACTACCAAAAGGAGGCATGTGGAGGCATATAAGAGATACATGTCTGAAAGCAATCCTTAAGACTTTATTCAACAATTCGTCTCCTCCGCATCACCCTAGTGCCATTTTAGAGAATATCCGCTGGACGTAAACAGCGTATGCTGTTCTGTATATATTATGTAACATATATTAATTTGTGTTCTGAAGATGAACGAAGGTCTTACGGGTTTGAAACGACATGAGGGTGAGTAATTAATGACAGAATTTTCATTTTTGGGTGAACTAACCCTTTAATCACTCGAAATAAGCAGAAACCAATACTCAGTACAAAAAGAGTTATTTGGAAAAGTACAGAGAATGGAAAATAAGTGATGTTATGTTCCTATCACATACTGCCATTCAGACGTTTGGGGTATTTTTTTCAGTGAGTGACAGTAAATAAATTGCAATATCAAAAAAAGATTTCTATTTAAAAATAGAGAGGATTGGCATTTTGCAATGTCCCAGTGTGCTATACATAAAGTTAAATTATTCATTATTATTATTATTAACACTTTGTCCAATCAAAATGTTCCAAGACATTTGGGACCATTGGGACCATTTTGGGCCCACAAATGGGACCATTTTTGGTGGGAAAACAGCAGCAGAAAGATAAGCAAGTATTAGCGATAGATTTGATGGATTTTCACTTTAAAGCGGGGACACTGAGTGAATGCTTGGATTGTTTGGTACTCTGACAAACCTCCATCTCTGTATTTAACTTAACACATTTATCATGACTAAAGGAAACAGGAAAAGTGTTGACTGGCAGCTCCTCTCCCAAGCTGGCAGGAACAGTACTATGAAGGACTGCTGAATAAAATACACAGTCATGTGTTACCTGAATGAGGATTTTACCCAGTGAAACAAAAGGAGTGCTGAGCTCTGTGAGGAAGAGGCAGCCAATGAAGTAATCACCCTGATCCTTCCTGAAGAACTGATGTGCACAGAGAGACCAAAAAACACAGTCAGCACAAACATGAACACACACATTCTTCCAGTGTGAACAATAAGGGTGTAAATATGCAATCCATCAGTCTATGGAATGAACAGATTATGGAATTTAATAACTGATAATTACTACAATAAAACCCAATGTACACTACCGTTCAAATTGAGGTTGGTGAGATGTTTTTAACGTTTTTAAAACATTTTTGAAAGCAGCATTTATTCGATCAAAAATACAGTAAACAAATTGAAATATTATTACAATTCCATATAACCGTTTTCTAATTTAATATATTTTAAAATGAAATGCATTTCTGTGATGGCAAAGCTGTCATTTTCAGCAGTCGTTGCTCCAGTATTTAGTTTCACATGATCCTTCAGAAATCATTCTAATATGCTGATTTGGTGCTCAAGAAATGCTTTATTATTATTATTATAAATAACTTATTATTATACAATTTGAAAACTGTGTGTGCGTAGTATTATTGTAGACACTTTTTTGAAGATTAATAATGAAAATTAAAAAACATTTTACTGACCCCAAATTTTTGAACGGTAGTAAAACAGCCTTTTTTCAAAATAAAATTCTTCATCTTTTTTTCAGTAAAATTCCCCCAAACACAGATACCCAATATACTTCCTAAAAAAAATCCTAAAAATATATAATAAAAATCAAAATAAGCCAATAAAAAGATCTAAATTATTATTATAGTTTAGATTCCATCATAAATCATTACACTTAATAATAAACAATGTAATCTAAATGAATCGTTGTCAAAAAAGAAAATATTTATATTGCTCTAGTGACAAATCTGGTACTTTACATCACAACTCAGAACAGTTCAACTAAAGCTACAATAAAGTTGTAGATTACAAGACAAAAAAGTGAAACAGACCTTCATGAGCAAAAAATACACTAGACGAGATGTACAGAATGGTGTTTCTAAAGACCCAGATGATGTGTAGGAATTACTCTATGACTAGTTTTGGGAATGGTCCACATATATGTGATATGATACACAGCAGTGGATATGGTGGATCAAAGGTGTGTAAAGTGTGTATAAATGTAACAAGATAAGAGCGACCAGTCAGAACAGCCATCTGAACCCTTCCAGCTAACCTGCAGTGTAATCTAAACCACTCTGTTTGGGGGGATTTGCAAACTGAGTCTATGGTTTCTATAATATTATAACCCTAACCTATAATATATCCTCTTTTCCCATGCAAAATGCCCTACTAAACATTACTGTAGGGTAATGTATTAAATAATGTACATTTCATAAATTTGTGAGATGTTATCTATCTTGTATAACCCACTGGACAGCCAGATGTTTTGCTGTGGTGGTCTGGGGCTTCGTCTCGCTTCCATGCGTGTCAAAATCTCTTTGTGTTTGTGACTACGTTTCGTGGGTCATTTTGAGGAACAGGAGCACAAAGCAGCGTGTGTGAGGTGGTATCGGAGTAGCAGCTGTGTGTGAATAATGGAAGCGTGGGTAAAGTGATCTCATATCACCATTGACAGCCCAGAGACACCAAACAAAAGACCAGGTTTCCACCTGTGTGTGTGTGTGTGTGTGTGTGTCTGTCCCACTGCATGCTCTCTGGCAGTGTAACAGCTGCTATTAAGGTAGTTGTTTCTCATGAATCAGGTACTAAACAAACAGAAAAGCACTGCTTCCCCCTTTTTACATTCCCTCCCATTTGGTCCTGGCTATAGGTGGAGGTGGTTATTTGAGAAGGCCCATTATTCTCTTTCCCATCATATTATTGGCTGTCATATCACTCATCCTATACATCTGTCTTCTCTCTTTCTCTCTCACCAGAGTCACAGGCAGTAGGATGGTGAGTAGAGCAATGTGATGGAGCACCAGCAGGAACTCTTTCCTCACAAATGAGTTGACGGTTCGTAGAGAGTGGCTTTTATAGTCCTTGTGACCTTTGACCCGGAAGCGATAGTAATGGCTGAGGTACATGGCGAAGATGTCGTATGACATGTAGGGAACGCCATACCAAATCACAAAAGAGGTGGCCAGCCAGTGTCTGGAACAGAAGATGAACAGAACAGGTGAACAAATCATGTGTGGAGTGATTTCAGACAGTTTACAAAAATACTCTTCGTAATAAAAAATAAAAAAAGTATTATAAAAGTTTGTATCTTATTTTTTTACTATTTGATTTTTATTTTATTGTTTGAAAGAAATAAAAACATATTCCACAAAAATATTAAGCAGCACAACCATTTTCAACACTGATAATACTTTCTTGAGCATCAAATCAGCATATTAGAATGATTTCTGAAGGATCATGTGACACCGAAGACTGGGGTAATGATTCAAAATTCAGCTTTGCCATCACATGAATAAGTTCAATTTTAAATATATTAAAATAGAAAAGTTATTTTAAATTGAAATCACAAAAGAGGTGGCCAGCCAGTGTCTGGAACAGAAGATGAACAGAACAGGTGAACAAATCATGTGTGGAGTGATTTCAGACAGTTTACAAAAATACTCAGTCCTATCTTGTAAAAAAAATACCTTCGTAATAAAAAATAAAAAAAAGTATTATAAAAGTTTGTATCTTATTTTTTTACTATTTGATTTTTATTTTATTGTTTGAAAGAAATAAAAAACATATTCCACAAAAATATTAAGCAGCACAACCATTTTCAACACTGATAATACTTTCTTGAGCATCAAATCAGCATATTAGAATGATTTCTGAAGGATCATGTGACACCGAAGACTGGGGTAATGATTCAAAATTCAGCTTTGCCATCACATGAATAAATTCAATTTTAAATATATTAAAATAGAAAAGTTATTTTAAATTGAAATATTTTTTTCACAATATTATATTTTACTGTATTTCAAATCAAATAAATACAGCCTTGGTGAGCATAAGAAAGTTCTATCAAAAACATTTTAAAAAATCTTACCGAGCCTAAACTTTTGAACACTAGTATGCTAACTAGTTGTTTAGCGTGTTGTTTTTTTTGCTGCATTTCTTGTGGGTGGTTGTCAGGGTGTTGCTATGCAGTTCGTGAACATGTTCTGATCGGTTGTACCTGTAAGAGTGTTTCTATATGGTTTATTACGGTCCTTAGATATGATTCTAAAAGTCGAATAGCTTAGCAAAGCACACCAGTGAGAAACCAGAGCACTAAAGCACTCATGTGGGGCTGGACATTACATTAAAAGTCCTTTATTAAAATATAACTGCAACATAAAATAATTATAATAGATTTTACAGCTAAAAGAGTCTTTATCCGGCTGTGGATTGCAGTAGACAAACAAACAACTTTAACAGACGTGTATTTTATAGGGTGCAGCTAAAATGTGTCATGTTTGTTTATCACTATTATTCATTATGCGCTAGTAGCAATTTTTAATGTCTAGGCTACAGAAGTAGTCTATAGTAAATTTTATATCATACATTTACTATATGGTATGATGAATTATATTTACAAATCTATGAATAAATGGATAAAATATTAAAATAATACATTAGGACATAAAAAGACAAGAGACAAAAACAGCACATATGTTTCCAGAAAATGTCTCTTTGGGGAGATCCTCAGTTGTAAAAGTTAAGACATTAAATATGCATCATTCTTTTTGGGGTCATTTGTCATTATTTGTTATTAACTTTATATAAGAACAATAGATGTCTAAGGTATACACTCATTTTTGTTAGCCAAGCAAACGTATGTGCGTGTGTATGTATTACATAACCTACAGCAAAATCACACTGCTCCACAGACTCTGCATGTGTGATTAGTGCTGAATTGTTTAATTACCACATAGCTTACAGCTACACTGACCTGGAACATCTCAATACTCTTCATACACGCCACACACAAGATATACATCAATTATATGGTAAATATAAGATTCACATGATTTTTCTCAAGAACTTATCTTTCATATGCACAAATAAATAAAAAAATAGATACATGAAGGCCTGGGCCTTCAGTGAACAGCATGCATACAGGCTTCAGAAGACTTGGAATATAATGCACAATTTGTTAATTATATTTTTATGGTGTTTTTCTTTCTTCAAAATAAATCAACATCCACTTCCTTTTTGCCTACTTTTTTTTTTCTTCTTTTTTAAGAAATTAATACTTTTTATTAAACAGTGCAACTATTTTCAGCATTGCTAATAATAAGACAAGTTTCTTGAACACCAAATCAGCATTCATATCGGTGCATCCCTAATTAGAATGATTTCTGAAGAATCTTGAAGACTGGAGTAATGGCTGCTGAAAATTCAGTGAATTTCACTATATTCCTTTTTTACTGTATTTTTGATCAGCCTTGGTGAGCATAAGACACTTCTTTCAAAAACATTAAAAATTCTTACTGACCACAAGCTTTTAAACAATGTGTAAATCTAGTTTGTTGTTATTGCTGTTTTTGTTGTAGGACTCCTGTGTGGAAAACAAAAAGAGTTATTTATCAAAATGTTTAAGCTGCCCTTTTCTATACAATTAAAGTGAAAGGTAACCATAGCAAAAACCTGCATAGGCAGGTATTTAAGATAGCATCCCCTGATCCCCATCCACTTCCATTGTGTGGAAAACAGCAGCTGGGACATCCTGTGAAATATCTGGGTGAGTAAATGATGACAGAATTGTAATTTTTGAGTGAACTATGCCTTTAACACTCAGTGTCATTGGATGCTCCTTGTCACTCAGGATCATGGCTGCGCATGTGCTCAAGCCAAGTATTAAGCCTTTGGGGGATTAACAGAGAGGTTGGGAGGTTTCTCTAGGCCTGACTGGCAAGTGCCTTCTGTGGATTACCCTGTTATGCCACAAACATTTCACCCGCCCCACATAAACAGGTGGCAGAGGCTGAAATTGCAGGTGTCAGTCTAGTGCCAGGGAAGGGCACAAAGGAAAGTAACAGCTGTTGCACTGAAACTCTGTGTACCTAATCTCCTCCTCCCTGTGTCCTTGGGGTGGGGGCGGAGCCAAAGGGGTCAGCAGATGTGGTGTAGGAACAGAGGTAAGCACTGTTACCCCGAGGCTGTTGTGATTGGCCACTGAGATGAAGAAAGGCATGGACAGGTAGGGTCTAATGGACCTCCTTCTTAAAGCGCCATTGCACCCCTTTTGAAGATTAAACCGTTGTACTAACTATTTATCTGTAGTGATGCTTAACAGCAAGTGGATTCAAGTTGATTTCCTATTTTGTAATGTAATGCTTTATTTTCATAATTTATGAGAACAGAATGAACTCTTAAGTTTAAAACATATATTTGATCAAAAATACAGCAATCACTGTAATATTGTGAGACATTATTGCAATTTAAAAGTGTTTTCTATTTTAATATATATTTTAAAATGTAGTTTATTCCTGTGATGGCAAAGCTGAGTTTTCAGCATCATTACTCCAGTCTTCAGAGCCACGTGATCCTTCAGAAATCATTCTAATATGCCGATTTGCTGCTCAAAAAACATTTCTTATTATTATCAGTTGAAAACACTTGTGCTGCGTAATATTTTTGTGGAAACTGTGACACATTTTTCCAGGATTCTTTGATGAATAGAAAATTCAAGAGAACAGCATTTGATAAGTGAAAAGACCGAATAAATTGTACCGAACAATGATATGACGCAATCAAATAGCAACCAGCGCAGAGTGAGAGGAGCACACTCTTTATTATGCAGCACACAAGTCAGCAGTGTGGAAGCATTTAAACTGTGAGAGAAATTTAAACTGTGTTGTTCTGTAAAATAAAATAAAAAGACAATAATAATGATAATTATTACAACAGCTCTGTTTTAATACATTATAACATTCACACATATGTTCAAATTAGGATCTGTAATATTTTCTAATGTTTTAAAAGAAGTCTCTTCTCAGCAAGGCTGCTTTTAATTGTACAGTAAAAAAAAATAAAATAAATAAAAATACATGCCTGATTCAAGAAGGGAGTTTTTTTTTACTAACTTATAAATTTTAAGTTAAATTGTGCTTTGTTGGTATATTGTCTGCTAGAATGTTAAAAATGTTCAATGTTAAATATTTTTAAATTGTTGTTTTGTAATTGATTTTTTTTCTTTGAAAAGCAAGACAAAACAGTAAAAAGCACATTTTGGCTTTTTAATTTATTCAATGTTGAAAACAACAATTTGGCAAAATACAGGGGGGGGGGGGACTCGAAAAACCGTGTTCGGTATTCGGCACAGTGTTTAATTTTGTTCGGTTTCGGCCAAGAATTTTAATTTCGGTACATCCCTACATAAAAGATACTTTCGTTTTCATGTAACGTAAAAAATCACTATGCTTTATAAGGTTACTTTAAAGCATATACCAGTGACTTGGAACTAAATGCCATGTCAAGGAAAGTTAGTGGATGACAACATTTTCAGTGTATAACTTAAATTTCAGTCTGTTCTTCACTCAAACCTATCATTTGACTTTAAAACTCTTGCACAAATCATATGGACCACTTTTTATCATTTTGGAGCTTTACAGCCCCAGTACTTTAATTATATTGATGTGTGGACAGAATATTCTAACACAAGTCTTCATTTCAAAAGTCTATATGGATTTTTGTTGATCTGAGCTCCTCTGTTCATCAGGGAAGGGTGACAATCGTGACCTGACGTCCATTCCTGAGTTACGCGACAGTGCTCTGTGTAGCTACCGTGTTAATGAGGTTAAATGTTAAGAGTCAGCCAGGCCTGAAAGCCGTCCACCACAGATAACGTCAAACTGTTTGTGTGTGGGAAAGATAAAGTGTTTCTGCTGTACCTCGACATGTTTTTTTTTCCAAACACTGATCCACAACAGATGACAGAAAACAAAAATGACCCAGGAACCACAGAGGGGTTACGATTACAGGACACTATCACGACAGGACACTCATTTACCAAATGGTCACCATTCACTAATGTGATGACAGTCTATGGGAGCAGATAAAGCACATTCAGACAGACAGTAACCCAGGCAAATATTTGAGCTTGATTCATTAATAATAGTCAGAGGTCACATGATATTTCTTTCCATGCTGACTAATGGTGTGTTAGTCTGTACTCTGAAGATGCTCGTCCAGTATACTGGTGAAC